CTCGTCCGATCGGGATATCCAATGATGTCTGTCTACGATAGCTGTGAGCCGGGCCCACACAAGGCAAGTCTTCGCAAGACAAACGGCGCCCGGTAGATATAGTTTGGCCTGGTGGAGCAGCTAAGCTCGTCTGCTCCACCGGCCCTCCAGTCCCTGAGCCCCTGTGCGTGGTCGTTTCTCTGCACCAACTGGTCCGATCGGGGTGTCCGGTGGCTTGAATGATAGCTGTCAGCCGTGCCGACACAAAACAAGCCGTAGTAGGGCAAACAGCAATGGTTACATGGAGATTGGCCTCGTGGAGCAGCTAAGCATATCTGCTCCACCACCCTGAGGCCCCGTGGGTGGGCGTTTCTCTGCACCCACTGGTCTGATCGGCGTGTCCGACGGCTCGAATGATAGCTGTGAACCGTGTCAACACAATGCAAGCCTTGGTAGGGCACGCAGTACCCTCTACAAAAAGAGTTTGGCCTGGTGGAGCAGCTAATCTTATCTGCCCACCAGGCCCTTGAGCCACAGAGCCCCCACGTGTGGGCGTTTCTCAGCACCCACTGGTCCGATTGGGGTGTCCGGTGGCTTGAATGATAGCTGTGAGCCGTGGAAACACGATGCGGGCCGAGTTAGGCGTGGTTCAGCTATGGGACGGGAGGTATAGCGGGACCCGACAACTGCTATTTCCCCCCCCCCAAAGATGCTGCGGAACCCCCGCTGAATACCATATCTCTGCGGGAAGATATCGGATTGGAGTGTCCGATAGCTCTGAAGAACGGCATGGACCGTGCAGACACGAACGCATCAGGTTTGGTGTCCATTGGAGCGGTGTGGACAGAGGTTCGAGACGATAACTGCTTCCTGACATGCTGCAGAACCCCCTTTTTGAGCATATCTCTGCAGCCACCGGTTGGATTTTGCTTCCAAGTAGCATTGCAGATAGCCGTAGTCCATATCTACACGATGCAATTGGTTTGAGGTCGATTGCAGCTCCGTGGGTGGAGATCTGCCTGGTGGAGCAAATAAATAAGAAGTTACTCCACCGGTGGAGCAAATAGCATTGCCGTTTGTTGTTTGTTTCCCTGGATACACAAATACTCCTCGAAGCACTTCTCTCCGATGGCCTGACAGGGCCTGAAGTACGTTGGTCATGTGGTCCGCAGCGGCACCGGCGGTGAGGGGGGTGCCCCCCGGCGGCGGCGGCGGGAGGTGCGGCCGGGGCGCAGGCACTCGCGGAGGGAACCGCAACATCGGTAGCACGATCAGTGGCAAAGGGGTGACCCCCGGCAGTCATGTTTTCCTCGCGACGCCGGCCGGGTCGACGGCCGGGGTGCAGACACTCGCAGCTAGAGCGGTACCATCCGTAGCAGCACCGTCGGCGAGAGGGGTGAGGCCCCGGCAGCAGAGTTTTCCCCGCGGTGCTGGCCGGGGGGACGGACGGGGTGCAGACACTCGCGGCTAGAGTGGTACCATCGGTAGCAGCACCGGCGGCGAGATTTGTAATGGAGCAAAACTACATGTACCGTATCAGCGTTGACAGAGAGGCGACCCCCGGCGGCAGGGTTTTCTTCGCGGCGGCGGAGGAGCAGACGGCCGGGACGCGGGCACTCGCGGCTAGATATAGCAGCAGCATCCGCAGCAGCACCGGCAGCAAAGGGGGAACCGCCAGCGGTCATGTTTTTCCCGCGGCGGCGGCCTGCCGGGCGTGAACTCGCGGACGGAGCTGCGACACCGTTGATGGGAGCGGCCACGACAGGAACGTGACGGTGACGACGGAGGGTGGAGTGGGCTACCGCACACCATGAACCAACCCGGTAGACGGTGATCCGTCAGCAGCGGTACAAGTTGACTGCGGTCACACGGTCGGGATCTCGTCGAAGTGATATTGTCGTGGCTGGGTGTCGCCGTGTGTACTTCGTCATCACGCTCGCGGGCTTCTGTCGAGAAAAGCGTTTTCGCGCAATGGAGTGTCTCAACCTTCGTCCGAAAAAGAACAGTCCACGACCGGCACCGAGTGGACAACAAAATACATTATATACCCCCCACGTGATAATGAAGAGCATGGGCCAACACCCAACCACGATATCGGTTCGACGAGACCCCGACCGTGTGGCCGCAGGCGTCACCATGTACCGCTGCTGACCGGTCGCCGTCTGCCGGGCTGGCTCATGGCGTGCGGTAGCCCTGTCCACCCTCCGCCGGGACCGTCACGGTTACCGGTCCTGTCGTCGCCGCTCCCATCAACGGTGCCGCTGCTCCGATCGCGAGTGCGTGCGTCCCGGCCGACCGCCGGCGCCGCGGAGAACGCATGGCTGCCAGTGTTCCCCCCTCTTGCCGCCGGTTCTGCTGCCGATGCTGCCGCTCCCGCCAAGAGGGCTCGCGGCCCGGCCGTCTCCCCCACCGGCGTCGCCGCTACGGCGAAAACCCTGCCGCCAGGGGTCGAACCTCTCGCCGCCGGTGCTGCTATACCGATGGTACCGCACCCCGGCCGTCCCCACGGCCGGCGTCGCAGGGACATGACTGCCGGTGGTTCCCCCGCTCGCCACCGGTGCCACTGACGATGCTGCCGGCCACGAGTGCGTGCAGCCCGGCCGTCTCTCCCCGCCGCCGCGGGGAAACCACTGCCGCCGGGGGTCACCACTCTCGCCGCTGATGCTGCCACGGATGCCGCCGCTCCCTCCACGAGTGCCTGTTCCCAGGCCGTCTCCGCCTCCCCCCCCCCCCCCCCCCCCCCCCCCCCCCCCCCCCCCCCCCCCCCCCCCCCCCCCCCCCCCCCCCCCCCCCCCCCCCCCCCCCCCCCCCCCCCCNCCCTCTCGCTGCTGTGCCACTGCAGCCCATCCGGTGTGGAAAGCCTACCGCCAAACGACTATCATGCTTCAGGCCCTGTCAGCACATCGGTGAGAGCTACTTGAGGCGTTTGCTCGTGCGATTACTAAGCGTGTTGTTCGTTGTTGTGGAATACGGAGGGATAGAGCATCGGGCATGCCAAATGGAGTGAGATCAGTTTAGGCCAGAGGCCGAAAACAAAAAGATGAATAGAAGGGCTACCTAGGCAGGTTACTAAAGGGTTAGTCCGATGAGAAACGTTGGGAGGAAGAAGGCGCTTTATCTGCGTTCTCAATTAGTTTTTTTGTGTCTTGGTTTTTCTTGCCTGCAGCAAAATAATCCAGAATTCTTGAGCAAATATACTCTAAACGTTAAGATTCAGTACGTATTTGAATGCGTGGTTTGTGGGGGCGTGTTGGAATTCGGAAAGAAGCAGGGATGCGGGGAAATCGAAGAGCACCACGGGGTCAGAAATTTTGTTTTCTCGCTGGGCGAGAGGCAAGCCAATGCGTACTTGAGAGAAGAGGCTTCAGATAGAAAGTGTTGATTGGTCCCAAGCCCAGTGCTGCTGTACAAGCACGGCTGACCCAGTTAACAGGATTGGATAGATGGTTAAGCCGCTTTATTAGGTCGTCCCACGTAGACAAGCGCACAGAAGAGAGTGGCAGCGGGGGGCAAGCTCCCGTGCCGCACACCAGTAACCAGTCGCAATAAATCCACCGCCGTAAAGATGCATCCATAACTCGGAACACATCACAGCTTTCTAAAGATCCGCAGGGATTACCCCGAAGATCCGCACCCGCTGGGCGGTCGATTGCAGTCNAACAGGATTGGATAGATGGTTAAGCCGCTTTATTAGGTCGTCCCACGTAGACAAGCGCACAGAAGAGAGTGGCAGCGGGGGGCAAGCTCCCGTGCCGCACACCAGTAACCAGTCGCAATAAATCCACCGCCGTAAAGATGCATCCATAACTCGGAACACATCACAGCTTGCTAAAGATACGCAGGGATTACCCCGAAGATCCGCACCCGCTGGGCGGTCGATTGCAGTCGCACAATTCCATAGCTCCAAACCACATATGAGTACTACAGCAGTAGCTCTCGTGAGGATTACATAATCCATAATCCACGTCACGAACAGAAAGCAGCTCCGAAGAGCATCAGACGTCTTTTATTCGTATCCTGTCATCGTAGGTTTGCTTCGGAATTAGTTCTTTGGCCTTGTCATCGTCCGCACCATAGTTTTAACGTCTTCATCGCGGTCTGAACGCCTTTATTCTTCAGTCACTTTGTTCTTGCTGCGTCTCTCGTGCTCGAGAGTGTTACCGTGGTGAGCCCTTGCTGCGGCTTCCCGTAAAAAAACAAGGAAAGCTTCAGACAGGCAACGCCGACGAAACCCATCGAGGAGTTGCACATCGATGCTTTTTATCCTCAGCCGAAACCTCAAGTCACAAATGGGAGGCGTGCCCTCGGTATCTGTTTTATTGTTGAATACGCCCTGTTCACTTCGCCACGTTCGTCGTCCCGGGGTTGTAGGCGCAAACCCAACACCTATAGCCCCAGGTTTCAGTGAGCTGGTTGCACTTGACGTCACTTTGGATGGATCCTGGCGACTCTGGGATGGTTTCACACGCGACACCCCATCTGTGGTCCTCTCCCCCACAACCACCTTCCCCGGTGTTTGGCATCGGGGTTGGGTTTTCGTCGCTTGGCAACGACGTTGTAAAACAAGCCCACCCCCCCCGATGTTTGGCATCGGGGTTGGGTTTTCGTCGCTTGGCAACGACGTAATAAAACAAGCCGCCCCCCCCCCCGGTGTTTGCCATCGGGATTGGGTTTTCGTCGCTTGGCAACGACGTTGTAAAACAAGCCAA